TGGTCCAAGAAAAAAAATTCCAAAGTAAAACTAAATAGACGAATCAGAGCACATGAAAATTTAGGACAATGATAAAATGACAAAGAAAAAATTAAATCAATAATGAAAAAGTTGAACATAGAAATAGGGAAAATTTATAAAAATAATGTATCAAAAAAAAAAACTAAGCGTGTTAGACAAAACATTAACGAGTGCAGTGGCCCTCACTGGTACTAGTGGAATTGAAGATAACCTTTACAAAGATGTTTGTGATGAAAAGAAATTGAAGAAACTACATAAGGGAGCTACGACTACAAACACATAAGCCGGATGTATAACAGACACAATTCCGAAACAGTGTAATGTAGAAAAGGATCGGATCCATTTGTTGAAATCAAGATTTGGTGAGGAAACCAAAAATTGTTCAAATAAATCAGAAGTTTGACTGGAGATACAAAAAAACTGGAAATTTTCAAAAAAATGAATTTTTTCCCTCAAGATGTCAAATAATTTATAAAATCGCTATCAAAGTTGCATAAAAATTGTGACATCAAACTATGATCAGTTCTACATTTAATTACTTACTAAACATATATATATCCTTAATTATATCAACGCAACTGCCAATATAACTATCATCAGTTGACATAAGACAAATAACAAGCCCATTATGGCGTAAAATTTGAAGTATTTCAGAATTTAAGAAGAATTCACAGCGGTCATCCATTTCATCAAAACTCTCATTATGACAATTTATGCCAAAATCTGAAGCACTGCAGGCACCATCATCTACGGTCCTGCAATAAATTTAGCAAAACATTAATATTATAAATATATGAAATAAGCTACAATTTTAAAGTAAATGAAATAAATTTATTTGGTTGTTCAAGAAGTAGGCAGGTTAGGGGGAGGCTTATCAAGCACGACTATCTCAAATCAGCATGGCTGTATGACACTCGAAAAAAGATACTAAATGTGCTAAAATATTATGCAAATGCATCAAATAAACCAATCAAAAAATAATCATAATAAATAAAAATTTATTAATAAATGTGAAAAATGTAAAAATTGTTGAATATAATTGTTCATGGAAACTAAAGAAAGACACCAGACCCTAGAGCGCACTGAAGATGGGCGCGGATGCGTTCGAGGGCCAGTAAAGATATTACAAATATATAGACAGTTTCTTTTGCTACAGTGTGAAATCAGGTTCAAAATGCTATCAAATGCACAAGTTTTTCCTTGTCTCTTAAACCTCGATAAAATTAAAAAAAATTTTCAGAGCTCTGATGACAGGCTATTTCAGACCTGGGGTAGGGAACTAGATGTCGAGAATTGTCGCATGAAATTATTGATTTTGCAACGATTGTGCTATGCTAATGGGATGAGGAATTATGGCGAGTTTATTGAGTTTAATCTAAAATTTTGAAATCAAAAAAGGTAATTTTGTAAATAATAGGCAATTTTATTGCAATTCTTTGAGATTTGATGAGTGTAGTTAACCAATTGAAATTTGGCATGATGAGGTAGGTGACAAGCTTAAGCCAAAGACAGGCTGAATAGTACTAATATAATGCTGTAAAAATCTTTCATATTAAAGTGATTGCAATATTTAAATAATAAAAAATATAATTGTATATCCAACAATTCAAAGTCAAACCTTCTGGAGAGAAACATCTTTTGTTTTATTAAGATATTATGAACGTAGAGTCTATTCCAAGTACATACGAAGTATTCATTTCTTTGTCTTCCACAAGAAAAGGTACAAGTTGCTGAAGTGTTTCATTAGTAAATATTTTTCAATTTTTAATTTAGGCTAATAAATGCATTCCGAAGAAAAATTAAATCAGCACCAATGTCTAGTTTGTTATTAGAAACCAATCAAACTTATTTAAAATTTGAAAGGACCATTGTTTTTTTAAACTTCTCACAGTTCATCAATGGCGGATCCAGAGGGGGGGCGGTGGGGGCGATCGCCCCCCCCCCCACTTTGAACTGAGGTTTGATATTTTATGAAATAAATAACAAAAAGCCAAACACTTCAACTTCTTGATTTTTTTTAAATTGAAAAACATTCTTCAAAACATAGTTCTGTTATATACATGAAATATTTACAAGACAAATGTCATTTTTCTACATTTTTTTCGGCCAAACCTTGTTATAATGTCTTCAATATCTAATTCAATATCGCGATGAATGTTCATTAAGGCTAATCCCGTTAGTCTTTCCTCATTCATTTTGGAGCGCATCCACGTTTTAACCGCCTCAGGGTAGAAAATGAACGTTCTGCCGTTGCTAACTGAAACAGGCATGGTGCACAATATTGACAACAGGCTGTGA